CTTTCTCTTCATAACTGGCTATGTGATTATTGCAGCTCAATGGGTGTAACTTTTGTTGACAATTTTGATACCTTTTGGAAACAAAACACGTTTTATAAGGAGGATGGGATCCACCCGAATAATTTTGGTTCCTTGATCCTGTCACAGCACTATAAGGCAGCTCTGAAAAAGTGACTGTCAGCACCAAGATATGTTAAGGTAATCAGTGATATTTACTCTGAGTGCCACTTTTCAGCTTCTGTTCTCAATACTGATAAGTGTGTTGTAAATAGTTATCCTGTGCCTGTTAATTTACCTCCCTGCAATGGCTGTTAGTTCCAATGTTGAAACTATTGGTTTTGTCAATAGTTTTGACAACAGTTATATTTTGTTTGCAGACCTAAATTCCACAAATAGTTTTGTTAGCTACAATAGGGAGACCACTGTTATTAGCCCCTCCAATACTATCAACAGGCTTGTATCTAGCTATCGTACTGCATGTGCTCACAAGCATAGAGGTGTTGTATATAGCAATCTTGTGCCCATTTCCTTGAAGTATTCTGTTACGTCTGAAACCACAAATCCAATATGTAATGATCTGGCTTGTATTGATACACCACTGGAATACAAGGACCGTAAAGGTTTGAAAATGAAACACTTAAACATACGTAGCCTATTGTCTAAAATGGATCACTTTAAGATCTGGGCCTTTCATGCAAATCCAGACATTTCTTTCTTGTCAGAAACATGGGTAACTGAGAAAATAATGGATTCTGAGATTGCTATAAATGGTTATACAGTATTCACAGCAGATAGGAAGGGTAAAGGGGGCGGTGTAGCTATTTATGTAAAATATCATCTTTCTGTTTCAATGTTTAAGTCTGTCACCATCCCAAAGCAATTAGAATTTTTGGCATTAAGTCTCCAATTAGGAAGTACCTACAATAACAATCATGGGAGTTTACCGTCCACCCTCTGCTAAGAAATGTGTGCTAATAAAACTGACTTAATAGCCTCCTTTTCAGCCTCTGAAGTGTTAATAGTTGGGGACTTTAACATTAACTGGGGAAACCATGACTGATTGTTTAAAGGATCTTTGTGTTAAATTAAATCTGACCCAGTTAATTAATAAGCCCACACGTCCAAATCTGAAGGACCCTACAAAAGCAACCTTGATCGTCCATATATTTACAAATACCCCAGAAAAATATATGTTGTAAGTGGGGTGTTTTCCTTAGATCTAAGTGACCTATTGTATGTATCAGGGATGTGTGAATACCTACAATCAATCCCCGTCTTATCAGAAAGAGGAATTTTAAACATTTCAATTAACAGGCTTTTTTACATGATCTTTAAATGCAGTGGTAATGGCGCCGGAGGAGATGGCTGCCGTTTTACGGGCTCCTAAACAATTGTGCTATTGTGTGTGTTTTTTCTCTTTATTTGTAACTTATTTTGTACATAATGTTTCTGCCACAGTCTCTTATGACCGAAAAGAGCTTCTGGATATCAGGTCAGCGATTACTCACCTCGTACTGGACAAAGATTTTTCTTTAACGAGTCGGACGCAAAGGATTTTCTTCAGACACCCGACAAGGCCAAAATCTGCGTCATTCGCATGAGAAATAGACGGCGATATCGGGGACGTAGGTCGGGGTGACTTGCAAAGATCCGACAGCGAATGGGTAATCTGCCTCTCCCATCAGTCCTATTAGCCAACGTACAATCATTGGATAACAAAATGGATGAACTACGATCATGGATATCCTACCAACAGGACATTAAAAACTGTAATATCTTATGTTTCACCGAGTCGTGGCTGAACGACGACATGGATAACATACAGCTGGCCGGATATACGCTGTATCTGCAAGATAGAACAGCTGCCTCTGGTAAGACAAGGGGTGGCGGTCTGTGTATATTTGTAAACGACAGCTGGTGCACGAAATCTAATATTAAGGAAGTCTCAAGGTTTTGCTCGCCTGAGGTAGAGTATCTCATGAAAAGCTGTAGACCACACTATTTACCAAGAGAGTTTTCATCCATATTTCTCGTAGCTGTCTATTTGCCACCAAAAACCGATGCTGGCACTAAGACCGCACTCAATGAGCTGTATAAGGCCATAAGCAAACAGGAAAACGCTCATCCAGAGGCGGCTTTCCTAGTGGCCGGGGACTTTAATGCAGGGAAACTTAAATCCGTTTTACCTAATTTCTACCAACCAGAGGAAAAAAATTACTCTAGACCACCTTCATTCCACACACAGAGACGTGTACAAAGCTCTCACTCGCCCTCCATTTGGCAAGTCTGACCATAACTCTATCCTCCTGATTCCTGCTTACAAGCAAAAACTAAAGCAAGAAGCACCAGTGACTCGGTGAATAAAGAAGTGGTCAGATGACGCAGATGCTAAGCTACAGGACTGTTTTGCTAGCACAGACTGGAATATGTTCCGGGATTCTTCCAATGGCATTGAGGAGTACACCACATCAGTCACTGGCTTCATCAATATGTGCATCGGTGACGTCGTCACCACAGTGACCGTACGTACCCCAACCAGAAGCAATGGATTACAGGCACCATCCGCAATGAGCTAGGGAGTAGAGCTGCCGCTTTCAAGGAGCGGGACTCTAACCAGGACGCTTATAAGAAATCCCGCTAAGCACACAGCCAAGACAACGCAGGAGTGGCTTCGGGACAAGTCTCTGAACGTCCTTGAGTGGCCCAGCCAGAGCCTGGCCGGACTTGAACCCGATCGAACATCTCTGGAGAGACCTGCAAATAGCTGTGCAGCGACGCTCCCCATCCAACCTGACAGAGCTTGAGAGGATCTGCAGAGAAGAATGGGAGAAACTCCCCAAATACAGGCGTGCCAAGCTTGTAGCGTTATAACCAAGAAAACTAGAGGCTGTAATCGCTGACAAATGTGCTTCAACAAAGTACTGAGTAAAGGGTTTGAATACTTATGTAAATGTCCTATTTCATTTATTATTATTTGTATATACATTTGTAAAAAATTCTAAAAACCTGTTTTTGCTTTGTCATTATGAATTGTGTGTAGATTGATGAGAAAAAAACCCAATCAATTTTAGAATAAGGCTGTAACGTAACAACATGTAGAAAAATACAAGTAAAATGTATGAAATCAATGATTCAATTTCTGCTTTACAAAATCAAATATATTCAATCAATATCCTAACAGAAATTCAAAATTATGGAATTCAAATACAATTTCTGTTGGCAATGAAATCACTCCATATTATAAAATACTTTCCAAGTGTATTTCCCAATACATTAAAATATTCAACTACTTGTCTTTTCAAATAAAATATACCTGAATACTTACTTTGTATGTACAGTGTGTGGAAGTAATTGAGATATTTGAAATAGTTTCAGAACCCAGGTCTGGCTCATATAAACGTCCCTTTTTCAGGACCCTGTCTTTCAAAGATAATTAGTAAAAATCCAAATAACTTCACAGATATTCATTGTAAAGGGTTTAAACACTGTTTCCCATGCTTGTTCAATGAACCATAAACAATTAATGAACATGCACCTGTGGAACTGTCATTAAGACACTAACAGCTTACAGACGGTAGGCAATTAAGGTCACAGTTATGAAAACTTAGGACACTAAAGAGGCCTTTCTACTGACTCTGAAAACACACCAGGGTCCCTGCTCATCTGCGTGAACGTGCCTTAGGTATGCTGCAAGGAGGCATGAGGACTGCAGATGAGGCCAGGGCAATAAATTGCAATGTCTGTACTGTGAGACGCCTAAGACAGCGCTACAGGGAGACAGGACGGACAGCTGATCGTCCTTGCAGTGGCCGACCACGTGTAACAACACCTGCACAGGATCGGTACATCCGAACATCACATCTTGGGGACAGATACAGGATGGCAACAACAACTGCCCGAGTTACACCAGGAACACACAATCCCTCCATCAGTGCTCAGACTGTCCGCAATAGGCTGAGAGAGGCTGGACTGAGGGCTTGTAGGCCTGTTGTAAGGCAGGTCCTCACCAGACATCTCCGGCAACAACGTCGCCTATGGGCACAAACCCACCGCGCTGGACCAGACAGGACTGGCAAAAAGTGCTCTTCACTGACGAGTCGTGGTTTTGTCTCACCAGGGGTGATGGTCGGATTCGGGTTTATCGTCGAAGGAATGAGCGTTACACCGAGGCCTGTCCTCTGGAGCGGGATCGATTTGGAGGTGGAGGGTCCGTCATGGTCTGGGGCGGTGTGTCACAGCATCATCGGACTGAGCTTGTTGTCATTGCAGGCAATCTCAACGCTGTGCATTACAGGGAAGACATCCTCCTCCCTCATGCGGTACCCTTCCTGCAGGCTCATCCTGACATGACCCTCCAGCATGACAATGCCACCAGCCACACTGCTCGTTCTGTGCGTGATTTCCTGCAAGACAGGAATGTCAGTGTTCTGCCATGGCCAGCGAAAAGTCCGGATCTCAATCCCATTGAGCACGTCTGGGACCTGTTGGATCAGAGGGTGAGGGCTCGGGCCATTCCCTCCAGAAATGTCCGGGAACTTGCAGGTGCCTTGGTGGAAGAGTGGGGTAACATCTCACAGCAAGAACTGGCAAATCTGGTGTAGTCCATGAGGAAGAGATGCACTGCAGTACTTAATGCAGCTGGTGGCCACACCAGATACTGACTGTTACTTTTGATTGTGACCCCCCCTTTGTTCAGGGACACATTATTCAATTTCTGTTAGTCACATGTCTGTGGAACTTGTTCAGTTCATGTCTCAGTTGTTGAATCTTGTTATGTTCATACAAATATTTACACATGTTAAGTTTGCTGAAAATAAACGCTGTTGACAGTAAGAGGACGTTTCTTTTTTTGCTGAGTTTAGTACCGTATTGACACTGAGGTGATAAAGCAAACCAAATTACCCAAGGGACAATTAAACTGAATACATACCCTGCATGAGATTGCATAATGGTACACTCCAGACACACACTGTACACAAATAACAAAAACCTTCACTTACCAGAATAACAACCTTAGTCTTAGGAAGACGGCAGGTGAGCAGTTGTGCAATGGCAAGGATTCCCCCTGCAACTTGCTCTGCCGAGTGCTCGTGATTGTTGGTTCCTACCCACACCACCGTCACCTGGAGGGGTCCAACGAGGTATATATTAGCTTAAATCAGGTGTTATAATTCTGATCTGGATGAAAAGCACTCCAGGACCACAACTGTCCACCTGTGCTGTGCCCTTTCGTCTCTCAGGGCCTGTGCTGGCCTGATTGAGTCTCACCTTGGGCCCAATGTTGTCCAGTTCTCCATTCTGCAGCCTCCACAGCACATTACAGGTGGTGTCTCCTCCGATGCCAAAGTTGAGCGCGTGCAGAGGAGAAAAGAGCTCCCGCCAGATCTATGGAGTGAGTCATGTAGCAGGTTGAAGATCCAGGACAAGGGTTAGTGTAAAATACTACCACACAAAGCATAGACACAACAGGCTCTAACTACTATGATTGAAAAACACCAGTGTCATAACAAAAGGTAAACAACTAACACAAGCACAGTGGTCAACACACACACAGGATTATAACTGATATAATGCACAGCAACATGTATGACACACACACACCAGGGTTTCCATTGTGGCGCTGGACATTTGACCGGCAGCATTCTAATTTAAAAGACATTTAAGAAATGTACCGGACCCATATGCATTGGGTGTGTAACCTGATTAGGGCATCCACCCACAGTGCTCAGAATGACATAAATCACATTTAGTTTATGGTAATTCATCTTAACAGAACATAAAACTCAAGGAAGCAACGGCGTCTGTCCTTCTTACCGAATTCCGATGCACAATTTGAAGATGTCCACATTTAATTTTCCTTAGCCAACAAGACGTGTAACGAACAGCAAAATCACTAGCTTATGTCAATCTACTATCCCTCATAGTAGTAAAGTTTACCTATTCTATTGGTCAGCTTGTCGTTCTGTGCAATAAATAAATAGTCTATTCCAAACAGACACTGGGAAAGTTGTGGGACGATAGATCCCAAATTCATACAACCAGTAGGCCTAGGCTACAGCCAAACAAATTAAAAAGCATTGAGGCTCATGCAACACATCAGAATGTTTAGCTTAAAATGTTGATAAACTATTATTTCTTCATATTATAAACGCAGCAATGCGCAAATGGCAGTAGGCTACACGCGACTGTTCTTTCCCTAATGCAATTAGCGGGAAAACACCATTGTCAAAAGCGCACCGCACATGTGAGCGGTTTCATGAGACAGAGATGAACATATCCATTAGAGATTTTGAAAGAGGGGAGATCTAAAGATGCAACAACTAGCATGGGTTGCTAATATGACTAGGATTGTGCATTTGGCTATTGGACAATGAAAGAAAGTTGATTTGAAAACCAATACAACATGAGAGAAATAGGCTACTGGTTTCAATGGCATATGGAAGTCTATAAAATAATTGCCTGCATGTTTGGTTAGATTTTGGCTAAGCTACTTTGAAGCAAGGTAAGACATGCCTCATTATATGCAGTAAAACATTCAGGTTTCAAACAATTAGGCATACATTTTCAAAATGGATAAGCCTACTGACTCCAGCTCATTGCAAAGTGGTGTGTGACCTGCTGAGGCTTGCCTAGTTGCCTATGCACTTGAATGGCAAATGGGAAGCTTGATTTAATTACCAGTTGAGAAATAAAAATAGTAGCTCTTTTTAATCTTGGCCATCGTTTTTAACACGTGATTGCATTTAGAATTGTTGTGTAATGATTGGGCTTACAAAAGCACGTTTCACTCCAGCAGCAACCAACAGCTAGCTGTTTGAGCTGTAGCAGCAGCTCTCACGCTAAATCGGCTGGTATCAATCAATAGACTAAAATGTATTATTTTGCAATGGAATATTTTTATTCTCCTGGATAATTTGCCAGCGCCAATGTCATTTATACTTTTTTGGGGCCAAAGGCCGACTGTTACCGGCTAACGGAAACCCTGACACACACACACACACACACACACACACACACACACACACACACACACACAGTATGTTGTATACACAGGCAGCTGTCCTCTCTCACCTCGTACTGCTGCATTAGCTGCACCATGGAGTCTCCAATAAACAGCACCTCTGGCTCTGCGTCCTTACACTCCTGAACAAACCGCGTGTGCTGCAGAAACACAACACGTCATCACCAGGCAGACACTCTACAGCCAAAAAGTTATACAGCTGCACCATCGAGAGCATCGTGACTGGCTGCATCACCGCATCATCGTTCACTCTGCTACCGTCTGGCAAACGGTACCGGAGCATCGGCTCCCGGACCAACAGGCTCGGAGACAGCTTCTACCCCCAAGCCATAAGACTGGGCGGTATACCTTATATACTGTATATATACCGTATACAGGGGTATTTGGAAAAAGCCATGGGATGGTTTTTCAATACCATTTAAACTATTTATTTTAATACATTTGAATATTTGTAGCTACTTAAGTAAATCCCTGCAGTCAACTTGTGCAATTCGTTAGGAGAGAAAGAAGACTGCGTTCTTCATTTCATATAATTTTCATTATGAAGCTTACCGGTAGTCCCCAGTCACATCACATGGTGTTTGTTTACAAGCACCATGTGATGTTTACCAGCTAGATATCTTATAACTATTATATTAACTGTCTAAAATGTGCTAAATGCTCTCTAGTTGTGCATTTAGTTTGCTAATTTAGTAGCTAGTGGTTAGCTTCTTCCGAAATCAAGCATTCCCTTGACCATGCAGTATTTACGGTGACACGGCCTCAGCAGAAGTCAGGGCATTCATACTTCTTGCGCATCGCGGAGCAGCGCAGAGCTGTTGATCAGAGCTGTTGTGAAGGAAGTTTTCAAGGAAGTGAGTGTGTTTATACAGCACCTCCCGTCCCCACCTACCATCAACCAATCATGTCCTCCGCATTGTTAAAACATTTGGGAGGCGCATGGCGATGCGTTACGGAGCTCAATTTGGTCTCTGCATGCCTCCGGAGGCTCCGCAATTGCATCACAGCATCAATACGGAGCCTCCGACCACATTTTCGGATTAAGCATAAATTGGCTTCACACACACACACCGACAACTAGAGGTCTTCACAGGTTCAAAAAGTTGAACCCGTTCTGAAATGGACCTGGGGCTTTCCCACCCAGACCTGATATGAATAAATCATTTTAAAAAATATAGATTCCCGTTCCGAACGGACCAGAGAAAAACTAGACCCATTCCGTATAGACCTGGTCGGATCCAGATCCGGTCTGAGTGAGGGAAGCAGCAGAAAAGTCATTTTTTAAGCTACTTTATTAACTGGAGCTGATAAAGCGCGAGAAGGGGGAGAGAGGTGCCACTCTAGCAGGCGGGGGAGGGGCCGTACTGTGAACGAGTGACACGGGAGCAGGGAGGGAGAGACAGCAACCGACCAAGCAGACTCACGCTATAGTAGACTAATAGCTGCCATAGCTAAGTTATTTATCATCAAATATGATTACGTAGTACCCATCTTGACTGAGTCAAACCGGGAGAAGCTAGTTAAGCTAGCTAACGTTAGCTAGCTAGGCTAATTGAGGCTGCAGTGGATCCGCTTTCCCATCCTACAGTTATAAATAACAACTCCATTCAGAATATTAAGTAGCAGCCTACCTGTTGGCTCTTGGTCGTTGTACCCGATCCTTCTCCTTTAACTTTTAACTCCATCTTCCATTGTTTAGATATCTCCTAACTTTTGCCACACAGAGGCTCTATGACTGTAGCCTATTGCCGCTTCGATGACTTATGATTGGCCGCCAATAACAAGCTACACACGCCACCTTCCACTCTCGTGAAAAGCAAGAGCAGCAACATAAATCTCTCTCTCTCTCTCTCAAAATTACACATACCCGAGACAATCATATCTGAACCGACCCAGACCCGAATTCTAAATTGCGAGCTCACAGAACAGAGCTCCGGGCAGCTGAGCGGAAATGGAAGAAAACTAGACTCCCTGCGGACCTGGCATCTTTTCACTCCCTCCTCTCTACATTTTCTTCATCTGTTTCTGCTGCTAAGGCCACTTTCTACCACGCTAAATTCCAAGCATCTGCCTCTAACCCTAGGAAGCTCTTTGCCACATTCTCCTCCCTGCTGAATCCCCCCCCCCCCTCCCCCTCCCCCCCTCCTCCCTCCTCCCTCTCTGTGGATGACTTCGTCAACCACTTTGAAAAGAAGGTTGACGACATCCGATCCTCGTTTGATAAGTCAAATGACACTGCTGGTCCTGCTCACACTGCCCTACCCTATGCTTTGACTTCTTTCTCCCCTCTCGCTCCAGATAAAATCTTGCGACTTGTGACTGCAGGCCGCCCAACAACCTGCCCGCTTGACCCTATCCCCTCCTCTCTTCTCCAGACCATCTCCGGTGACCTTCTCCCCTACCTCACCTCGCTGATCAACTCATCCTTGACCGCTGGCTATGTCCCTTCCGTCTTCAAGAGAGCGAGAGTTGCACCCCTTCTCAAAAAACTAACACTCGATCCCTCTGATGTCAACAACTACAGACCAGTATCCCTTCTTTATTTTCTCTCCAAAACTATTGAGCGTGCCGTCTTTAGCCAACTCTCTTGCTATCTCTCTCAGAATGACCTTCTTGATCCAAACCAGTCAGGTTTCAAGACTGGTCATTCAACTGAGACTGCTCTTCTCTGTGTCACGGAGGCTCTCCGCACTGCTAAAGCTAACTCTCTCTCCTCTGCTCTTGTCCTTCTAGACCTGTCTGCTGCCTTTGATACTGTGAACTATCAGATCCTCCTCTCCACCCTCTCCGAGCTGGGCATCTCCGGCGCGGCTCACTCTTGGATTGCGTCCTACCTGACCGGTCGCTCCTACCAAGTGGCGTGGCGAGAAGCTGTCTCCGCACCACATGCTCTCACCACTGGTGTCCCCCAGGGCTCAGTTCTAGGCCCTCTCCTATTCTCGCTATACACCAGTCTCTTGGCTCTGTCATATCCTCACATGGCCTCTCCTATCATTGCTACGCTGACGACACACAACTAATCTTCTCCTTTCCCCCTTCTGATAACCAGGTGGCGAATCGCATCTCTGCATGTCTGGCAGACATATCAGTATGGATGACGGATCACCACCTCAAGCTGAACCTTGGCAAGACGGAGCTGCTCTTCCTCCCGGGGAAGGACTGCCTGTTCCATGATCTCGTCATCACGGTTGACAACTCCGTTGTGTCCTCCTCCCAGAGTGCGAAGAGCCTTGGCGTGACCCTGGACAACACCCTGTCGTTCTCCGCTAACATCAAGGCGGTGACCCGATCCTGTAGGTTCATGCTCTACAACATTCGGAGAGTACGACCCTGCCTTACACAGGAAGCGGCACAGGTCCTAATC